TTTTTTCTGAGTGTTCGATCTTTGTATTAATAATTATAATTACCTAGAAATGTTACCAGAAAACCACTGTATTCAATAGGTACTCTATATATACCAACGATTTTTTTAAATCTCAATTGAACTAAAAAGAACACGATTTTTTTTTATTTAGAACAATTCGTTTGTAAAAAAGTAAATTCGGAAATAAAGCCTATACGCTTGTCGTTCAATCAAAAAAAGAAGCAATCATCCGCTTAGAGACACGTTTCACGTACGCCACTTTGATTGGTTTCGGCTCAACTCGAAAGACCCATACGCTCGATTGCTGCTTTGTTTTGGGATCGTAACTATAAATCCATGTTTCGTCGCCTGTTACTATGTCCCACACCAAATTTGACGTCGGTCGTTAAATCTGATAAGTATGGCAATACACCAAGTGACGCGATCCGTTTCTTGAGCCTCAGTCAAATTATGTGGGATCGACCGAGAGCACGGATTTTTCATTATTATATTGATTGTATTTAACTCATGCCTGTGCCTACAGATGCCCGAATCTCATGGTATGCCACATGCCTGTCTGTTTCGATCTTACGGCGCATAGCAGTGGACGCGCGACCTTCAAGAAATTCGTCACTGAGATTCATACAAACGCGTTTGAATTCTGCAAACCAGCTATAAATAGTCGTCTTGCATGGTGCTTCATCGCCAAAAGCAGTTCGAAGCCGAGCGAAGCTACGCTGAGCTGTTAAATTACACTTAAAGTCGTAGAAAATCATACTACGAAAATTTTAAACGATTTAAATCCACGGTGATGTAGACAACCAATTTCTAAAATGACGCCACAATGTAAAAACAAGTGACAGTCAGATGAAACAAACTGTATTCTACAGCCAAAGAATTCCATTTTCAAATGTTGTAATTACTTTTTAAATATTGTTTATGTAAGTGGCCAGTTCCAAAAACTTTATACATAGGGCACACCCTATGTATAACTTGTTTTGTCTCTTTTTTTTGTCAAAAATAATTTGTCTTTCAAATTGATAAACGGAAATTCTGTAATTTCTCAAAAACCAATAACGTCATTACACGAAAAAGTTTAGGGAAATTAATAAGTTAAAATTCAAAAAATCATTGTGCAGTGACGTAGCTAGTTCCAACGTGATTTTTTTGCACTATACATTTATGTTAACAAAATGATTATTGATCTTGACAATAAGCACGAGGCGTGTATGCGTTAAGGGTTACTTGTAATGGGAGCGCGCTGTACGCGATTGAGAAGATGACTGTCTAGAACAGCCAGTTTTTTATTCCTCGTATCAGCACTACGCCTATCAGAATATTTCATGATTTCATGAAATCATTTGAGAAAGATTGAGATGCACGAAAGGAGCCTTCCCGTCCAATATATAATATTAGTACACTATTGCTGAGGCCGGTAAGTAAGGGATTGGAGGACGAGTACAAGTTAGAAGGACGAGCGCCAGCGAAATCTTGTATTGATACGAGTCAAGCAGTCCCCGTTCCCGCCGAGGCATGTATAGAAGTTTTCTCAAACAATGTGAGGAAATAATACTCTAGTCTTTTGACTAAAGAGAGGAAGATGTTTAATGGAAAAAGTAAAAAAGATGTATTGGAATGTGTATCTAATACTGTATTTTCGTTATCGCTCTTCTCACTAGCACTCATTTTTGCGACCAAAATACAAAAAAGGCGAAAAAGCAAACGAATACCAAAACAGTTCAGTCAGTTACGTGTTACCGCCTTTTTCTTTTTTTTAAGTAAGCGATAGGTAGGATTTTTAATTCTCGCAATTACGAACACTGGGCACGAAATTGGCTGTATGAGTTTTTCTTTTGCCTGTTTTCATAGTTCATTATAAGTAGGTAGATTTAAAAGTTTAGAGAAGGGGATAGTGATGGATTTTCACACTTACTTTGCAGGCCTTGGCCGGGAAGAAGTCGCGCGGCCCATAGATGACAAGCTTTCCGAATTCGTTTTTTGAAAGTAATGCAAACATTTCCGAGCATGTTTGAGAAAAATACTTTCTGTTGTCTACCGCATCCTGGGCAATAATCGTGAGCGCCTAGGGCCTTGACTAGCAAATCCTTCCACCACGATGGCTAGTATTACAATGTAACGTAAGAAGATAAAAAATGTATGTGTAAGGAAATGAAAAAAATGTTATTCTCCTTAATATAATGTACGTTTTTATTTTATGGATTTCCTCTCACCTTAGGATAGCGAATTTCCTTGTGCTGCGTGTACTGGTAGTAGACCGAGCCGGGTACGCCGTAGTGAGGCACTTTCATGATTCTCACTTCGGTGTCGTTGAAAGTAGCATACGCTAGCTTGGTACCGTCAGCGGAGAACCACATGGCGTTGTTAGAACCGAATACTTCCTCTGTGAATATTGCAAATGTGTTAAATTCTGAAGGTACTTTGGATGAAAATTGGAATTGGCCGCATTTTAAGAGAAGTTCATTCTTGAACCAAATAATTATGCAGATGGTTTAATAAACCACAGTCTGGCACACTGGCCAATAAGTGCTGGGACTTCGACATGCAGCTTAGCAGCAGGTTATTGCTACTAAACATTCACAAGTTTACCATAATATGACAAATTATATAAGGAATACCAGTGGACCTAAACATGAGCCTTGAGGAACTCCGCATGTTGACCATATGTTGACACAAAAGGTTAGTAGCAGTAACCTTCTTAAGAAAGGGATCGTCCAACCTTACCTATTTCTGCCGCCAAGCAGTAATGTCAGCATTACTGCGTTTTGGTTTTGAAGGATAAGGGTGATGATGAAATCACGGTACATGGAACTTGTCAACTTAGGTCTAGATGACGGGCGCAGTGGCATTGCCACGGCAAATGACCATAAAACAAATTAGTTACTTATCCGCTCACACGATTCATGCGTCTCTGGAAGCATACCACACCTAGAGGTGCCGGTAATGATTTTATACCGATTTATCGGATATCGAAGTTATAACAGGTAAAAGAACTAATAGTAATTGCTATTTCGGTAACTACTCTAGCAAACCATAAAGTTTTTAATGCCTGGGTCTGTCATTTAAAAAAAATAAACAACTTCAAAAATACGTCACGACAATCGTGTGTGTTATTGCTTGGGCTGGTGATGTCGGTGTTTATTTATTGAAAATATACCGTAAGTTGCGTTTTTTAAGTTTACCCTGAATATAAATGTTTATAAACTATACTTTAAGGAGTAATTTCATGGTAAACATTAGAACCGCTCAAACGGAATATTATCATATTTACCCAAGTACACCAAAAATTTAATTAGTGCTTTTTAAGTGCAGGATTTGCGGTGTATTACTGCATTTTATTTGAGATGTTTTTGTTGTAGTACGGAGGGTATTTATTTAGCAATGCAGAATAATAATTTTTATTTTTAAAAACTTGTATTTAAACTGAATCCGTTTCTAATTTGCGAAATCAAATAGCCGCCATTTTGCGGTAGGATGAGCGCAGCGCGTGAGCGGATAAATAGCTATTTGGTGCTCGTTGTGACATCTGGTGTACAAATAGGTACTAAATATCCGACTAAGTTTTCTTCTATCGTGATTAGCAGTCCTCTTGAGCTATTGGTCCATACTCTTATTATACTGGTATTACTCGTGTTGTTTTTCTACCGTTACTTAATAAATCTTCGCTATAGAAATTTGTAAAAAAAAAATACTGACCTTCATATACCCAATCAGGTATGCCATTATAAATCACATATTCTTCACCGTTAGTCGTGATTGGAATAGCATCTGCTGATATATTTTCTTTGTAGTAGATATCATTTTTATGAACAAAGGCGAGTGATGTACCGGAAGGACCCCAAATGAAGTTTTGAAGGAAAAAGTCTCTGGTAGCGTTGGCCTCGACAGGAGCAATATGTTCAATTTCACCCGTGAGAGTATTTATGGCGGAGTAGCGCGCCAAGAAGCTGTGTCTGTATTCCTGAAATTGATAGGTTCCTTATTAAAAATAATTTAAAAGGGCTATTAATACCTATACCATAACAATACCATCTTATTCCGTAATGTCAGCAGCGCCAACACGACTGCGCGCGACTTTTGCGAGAAGCGACATAGAAGTTTGAGAATAGCAACATCTTGTTCTTCTGTGTCGCATAACTAACTTAACTAAATTTTAGTAGCCGTAGTAGAGCTCCTTAGAAAGAGTTCCTCAAGGGAAATTCTGCCACCTTACCTATTTCTACCACCGAGCGGTAATGTGAGCATTACTTCTGATGCTGGTGAAAATATAGGCACATAGGACTTGTAAATTTATGTCTCAGGGAGACGGGCGCGGTGGCAGTGCCTTTTAGATCTTTCCGATTTAAAACCTGAGTGGCACTGCAACTGCTATGGACAGGCGTGTCTCTTATCACCAGGCGCACGACTTGTTCGTCCCGTCGCTTGATATCATTAAAAAACACTAAACCTAACACTGCAGATGTTCGTTGGTTAGTTTATAATAATTGACATGACTGAATGTGCCAAAGAATCACACTAATTTATCTAATTTAATACTAGGGAATGCCAGAGCAACGGAATTTAATTCAAAACACCTAGCCCAAATCCAATTTAGAAAAGTTCACTGCTCAAATTGGTCTCAACAATCGAACCTAGACCGCTTTACCCAGCGTCCACAACGCATACCGTGTACGCTAACCTATTGGAAATAAATAGCCCAAGCTTTACTATGTAGCGTATCTAGAAAAATATCGACCGGGTCCAAGGCTTGACAATTACCTTGTCTAACGCCTTAGCAAAATCAAACAAGCGATAAAATACAAAAACTAAAAATATTGAAGTTTCATCTTGTTAAATATATCTGATAAAGAAAATATTTTTTGCTGAAAATAAAACAATAACCAAAATAGCCATAACCTAATCCGAAAACTTTATTGCAAATGAACTAAGACTTTCATTCGTCTTACAAACCAAATCAGATCTCGACAATAACTTGAGGTGCATTCGTGAGTTAAGTTCATTTTCAAGGAGTCTGATATTGTTTACTTTCACATTTATAGTGCACATATAGAATGGCTTATGTGAAACAAAATACTTTTAAACAATTAAGTTTAATCGAATTCGAAGGTTTTCTCTTTTCTCTTTCTTACATATTGGAAATATCTATTTCTTTTTCGGATCTAAATCGAGTTGTATGATAAGTGTCGTTGATTTGGTCAAAGAATACCTTAGTATAGTTACTAAGGTATTCTTGTTCCTTTGTTCCCTACCGAAGCGCAGTATCTTCTGTTTTTTAGCTCTGCACATTTGTGAGCGCAGAATTTTGCAATTTAATCTTTTTGCCATTACTTTAACATGGTGACTTGGACCTCAATTATCTGAGGTCTCGCGAAATTCAAAATTTAATTTATTTACGACTTGTAGAATGGTATTTTTATGCAGGTTTCAAATTACATGCATATAGGTTCAGGCACAGCTGAGTAATTCCGTTCTTAGATTGTGTAGATAATTTGGATGCCGAAAAAGCTTCGCGCGTTCCGCTTCCTGTGCTAGGATTAAGTCAAAATTAAACAATTATTTTTTCTGAAACAGCGATCTAAAAATCAAAATAGTGGTATCTGTTTCTTGTAGCCCATCATCTACCTCCGTAGTGGATGTGTTTCAGCCACCATTACTATTGTTTTTCGAAATGTCAAAGAAATTAAATACGTTATAATCTCAATTATTGTATATGACCGTGCTTATTCCACTCTGGTTAAACTATGAATTCTTGCGATCAATTATGTTCAAGTATATCGGACATTTTACAAGTACAATTTAATTATAGGTTTTTCTCTTTATTAACGCTATTTTTGAAGATTAACGAAACTGAAATGGAGCTGGAGAGGATCTAATTCGAGAACGGTTATAGGAACTTGAATTTACAGCGAAATGCATATACGACATTGTGAAAATCGCGGATCGTAGATAAGACTAGAGGAAGATCGTGGTGACAAGACTACGGGTGACGTATACCCAGTAGAAGGCGAAGTCCGGTTGTAAATCATGATGCTAGTGATGATTATCTACTGTCTTTCAGATCTATCTACGGCACAATCCATATTTAAGGAAGATGTCTCACAACCCTTTGAAAAAGTGTTAGGTTAGATTGCTTATAGGAGACCCTTGTAAATCAGTGAAAACGTATTGATGATAGTATATTGTTGTAATTTATACATTAAGCGTATTAATGCTTAATGCCTTGCTAGTTTGATGAACTTAGATTTTTCGCTGTTTCGCTTTGGCAAAAACAGAATTAGTACTGTATAATAAATAAAGATAATATAATTAATTTACACACAAAGAAAAAAGAAATTTGATTAACACCTGAATAAAGTTAATGTCGTTTCTGTAGCTAATCAGGATTAATCAGGGATAATACGAGACGCTGTTACCTTAGCGCTACGAGTACTCCTTTGGGGTATTGCTTAAGTGCTTCGTTGATAAAAATCTCACGTTCGTGCTTTCTACGTTTTATTTCACTCTGGCTATTAAGCTTAGATTTTTATTAATGCTTTGTGTTTAATGTCACCGTCAGATACCACTGTTCTACACTCGATATAATGTTTGAATTGCTTGTTTGAAAAAGAAATTACTCTTATCAAATGGTGCTTAATGGAATTAATCAATTTCTTAATTGAATCAAACACGAGCCTCCCACTGAGATCGCCGTAACGACAGGGTAGCGCAAGGCTACACACGTCCAGAGATTTCCTGTAATATGGTCACAACATTAAGATTGTATCAACTATTTTTTTTGTAATTAATATAAATTAATCGGGTGATATAATCTTTGTGATTTATTCCACTAAGCTGCACTTGATGATAGAATCAGACATTTTATTGAAGGATGTGTTGTTTTGCATAATTCTACCAATATGTAAAATTAACATTTTCTTGCTATATAGGAGGGCTGCCTTTTGTATTTCGGGATTAGAGAACAATAACAAATATTTATCATAGAAAATCACTTTATTGTTTTTCAAAATATTCCCCATGAAGATCAATATACTTTTGCATGCATTTATACCAATTTCGAAACACTTTTTCCACACTGATTGAAATACCTTCAAAGCATGCGTTTTAAATATTACTTCTTCAGGTGTTAAAAAACGTAGACCTGTTTTTTATGTGCTGGGATAAAAAGAAGTCATTGGGTACCAAATCAAAATTATACGGCAGGTGATCCATGAAACCGACGTTTTAGGCGCTCCAAAATTCACTTGTTTGACCCGATGTGTGAGAGCTCGTATTGCCGTGGTGGAGTATGATCCGTCTCCGGCGATTGGTCCTTTTTATTTCTTCACTGACAACTGGCACACAAACGGTTGCGTACCTTTCAGAATTGACCATTTTACGTTGTTCTAATAGTACAGTTGCGATAGGGGTGTAATGGGGCGCCAGGTACCCGAAATGTGCTGTCAACTGATCCTTCAGGGAGGTGCACAGCGTGGGTATAAGCGGCCTACAACTCTCGCCAGTGGCTCCAAGTAGGTGCGGGTGCACGCAGCGGCCACACCCCGGTAAACCACGTGTTGTACGTGAGCTAAACCTGGTTGAGGAGTCACGCTTGCTCCGGCAGGCAAATCTATTTGTGGACACCTCCGGCAATGTGCACGAAGCCTGGCTTGGTGCAGAAGGCAAACCGCGCTGATAACCAATTGGATTTTGGCTAATGCAGCGAATCAGCAAGGCAATGTTGAGGGCACAAGGCGACAGTTGAGGTCATGAGGAGCTGTCGGCCAGAGACTGCATCCGAACTCACCTCCAGTCGTAGCGGCCTCCCGTTCCACTGGATGTAGGTGAATTAGACGAGTGAGTGCGTCTTTGCTTACGCAACCACTTACGCACTTAAATATATCCCGCGCATATGACTGCTTTTGCTTTATAGTACTCCGAATTAGACTAAGTCCTGCGGCGACAGGTGGCGGTAGGAGGTCGGGTAGTGGTGCACACTCGGCTTTGTCCAAAGCCTGCACGTGGGCGGCTCAAGGAGAGTGGTCGTTTTTGCGCTGAACTGGGGCGACAGCGTGAATTGGGCAGCACCTTGAGTGACGAAGCAGCCCTTTTTAGGGAGGCACTGCTTCCCTCGCTAGTCGGGGAATGGACTAGAAAAGGTGTCCCAAAAAAATGCTCGTCCTACCACTACGGGGGAGTAATAACCGCGGTTACGCTAGCACCCCACTTCTCGCGGTCGAAGATGCAAAATAAAAAAGTTAGTTATAGAATACACATAAAATGGTTTTTGGCGCCTGGAATGTGCGCACATTACTTGACAATAACGACAATATATGCCTGGAAAGGAAAACTGCCATTGTAGCTCGTGTGTGGGCAATGTGAATAGCAATGCGCTAATGCTTCTGACTTTATGTGCACAATACGACCTAACCATTACCAACACTCTATTCAGATTACCAGACAAGTACAAAACGACATGGATGCATCCACGATCCAAGCATTGGCACTTAACTGAATATGCAATCACACGGCGACGAGACATCTGCCAGGTTCACGTTACCCGTATAGTGCGCGGTGCGAACTGTTAAACAGACCACAGGTTGGTTATATCAAAACTGAAATTGCGTCTTCGCCTACCACGCAGGTCTCATAGACTAAGGCCAACATCGGTTGACCTTGGTAGATTGAATAGCCCTGAAACACAGGAGTCATATCAAGCGAAACTGAGAGAGTCGTTAGGAATTTTTAAAGTAAATGAAGGTGATCTGTTGGAGAAATGGCAGTACCTGTCTTCTTCTATATTAAACGTGGCCACTGAAGTTCTAGTGGTCAAAAAAGCGAGTATGTGAAGACTGGTTTGACTAGAATGACAGAGTTTTCAACGTTGGTCGATCAGCCGACCTCGGTCACATAAACTCTATTCCACCTTTGCTGGAGCGTATCGCGTTGGACGAGCCACCGACGCTAACCGAGGTAGTACAAGCCATCACAGAGCAGAAGAACAAAAAATCTGTTTGTGTTGACAACATCCCTGGAGAATTGCTCAAGTATGGAGAAGAGCGGATACATTGTCATATCTGGCAAATGTTTAAGCGTATTTGGAGCGAAGAAAAAGTACCCGCTGACTTTAAGGTGTACCGTATACAGACCCTGTACAAAAATAAGGGGGACCGTTCCGACTGCAACTCTTACCGAGGTATATCACTTCTCTCCGTGCCAGCAAAGGTATTTGCGAGATTCCTCCTGAACCGACTTATGCCAGTATCGGAGGCGTTACTGCCTGAAACTCAATTCGGTTTTCGTCCAAACAGGGGCACCTGTGAAGCAATATTTTCCATACGTCAGCTTCAGGAAAAAAGTCGTGAGCAGGGGCAACCCCTGTATATGTGTTTTCTAGACTTGGAGAAGGCCTTTGACTGTGTGCCACGGGAGGCCTTATGGACTATATTGACAAAGACTGGATGCCCTGAAAAGTTTGTTCGTATGATTCGACTTCTGCATTATAAAATGATCTGTTGTGTAACCGTAAACGGTGAGCAGTCAAGGTCCTTTTCTGTAAGCTGCGGTGTCAAGCAGGTTTGTGTTATCGCTCCAACCTTGTTCGCACTGTACTTTACAGTTGTGGTCGGAGAAGTTTTAGAAAACTCTTCTTGTAGCATAGGTATACGTTTCCGGACAAACGGAGGCATCTTTAACCTATCAAGGTTAAAAGCGAACACCAAAGTTTCCCATGCAATTATCACGGAAATTCTGTATGCTGACGATCTATGCTTCGTATCAAACACTCCTCAAGGACTTCAGACCTTGTTGTCAGATCTTCATGAAGCCTGTTTCCGATTCGGTCTAAAAATTAGTGTGTCCAAAACTGAAGTTATGGCAATGGACCTGCAAGGTATCAACACGTCGATTGAGATATTACTTGGTGAGATGAAGCTGAAGCAGGTGGAGAAGTTTAAGTACTTAGACAGCACTATCACATCAATGTGCGACCTTGATTCCGAAATAAACCACCATATTGCATTAGCAGCGTCCGCTTACGGATCTCAGGTTGTCCACAAAGATATCCGTCTACTCAGCGATTGTACTCCCTAACCTTCTCTATTCTTCCGAGACATGGGTTCTATACCGCCGTCATATACGCACGTTAGATAGATTCCACATTAAGTGCCTGCGAAACATTCTTAACATCAAGTGGTCGGATCGGGTAAGAAACACCGATGTGCTTAGCCGGGCGAATGTCTTCGGCATTGAGGGATATTTAATGCGGCGTCAGCTACGTTGGTGTGGACACGTCTCGCGCATGTCTGAATCGAGAGTTGCGAAGCATATTTTCGTTTCTGAACTCCAGAATGGCAAACAACCGCGGCTCTAATTCTAAACAATAGCAGTCGCTGTAGCCGAAATCGGCTAGGACATAAAAACACACACACACAGTTGCGATATGTCCAGTTTTTTCCTGAAAAAACAGGTGACTATTTTCGTTGGAATGCTCGAATGGGCTCATCTTGAAAGACCCATACAGTCGACTGCTGTTTACTTTCGGGCTCATACGCGTAGAATCACCAATTGGGACCTATTACGATATGATAGACGTCTTTGAAGCAACGCGATCGTTTATTTTATCATTTCTTTCGACCTATCGACATGAGCCTTATTTTTAGCGGTTGTCAAATTATGTGGTATCTAACGCGAATAAATATTTTTGATGGCCAAATAGTCATGCAATATTGAATAAAAATCTCACGATAGGTCTCATGATAATATTGCAGTATCTGTTGAAGCACAGCATCAATGTTTTCCGGAATAACAACCCATTTTGGACGATCTTCACGAAATTCCTCTTTGAGTGAACTACGGCCTCGATTGAATTACGGCAACTATCGATAAACACCAGCTCTTGTTGAAGCTTCATCGTCAAAAGTCGAATTAAGATCATTATGGAGTCTTGTTGAGTTAATCCACGTCGAAAGTTGTAATAAATAATCGTACGAAAATGTTTACGACTTAATTCCATTTTTTGACCGAGATGGATTTTTCTAATTATTTTAAACGACACAAATAATGATCGAATGTCAAAATGTTTGAATACTATTGCCACCAAAAATGTCAAACTATACGATAGAGATGTGGATTGCCAGATCATTAGGGTTACCAAATCCTGAAATATAAAAAGCAACCCTCGTAGAAGGCTCGATTAGCCTTCTGTGGTAAAACTTATTTTAAGTTTTATTTTTAAATGTAATTAAATTTAGAATTGAAATAAATAGCTCTATTTATAAGATTCATAGACACACACTATACATGGTTAAAAATATATATAAAATACGAGTCTAATTCATACGAAACATTAATCATATTCAAAAGACGTAAAATTATATGGTTCATAACAATGACAATATAACTTATACCTGTTAAAGTAGATTAATCATAAATCATTCAAATCTGATAAGAACATTCTAACACAGTAGTTATTATCTTAAGTATTTGATTAAATTGATACGAAGTGTTTTAACACCAAAGTTTTTGGCTATACCTATCCACTTCAAAGTAAGCCGTGTCGCAATTCTCTTTTCTGGTATAAATTTTTATATTTTTATATTTTTATATTTTTATGGTACTAATAAAGATGTGTTATTTCAATAATCTGACATGGGCCGTCTTAAATCCTGAAATAGTAACTTTTACTGGGGTCTAAATCGCGTATATTTGTTTTTTACATGTTTTTTCAGACAAACCAACGTTTCGTTGTCATTCAATATTTTACAAAACATATGTGACGTAAATTGGAATGGTCCTTGCTAAATTAAAAACAACAAGTAAATTTTAGTTCGTTTGTGGTGAGAGCGCCGACGGGACATCCTTCCACCTTCATGAAGAAAGACTTGGCCGAAGGGTGTCCTAAATCGGCGATTCCGTGGCCGGTTACCTGACACCAGATTGCGCCACACATCGCTGACAAATGCAATACGTGTAGATTAGTTATTTAGTTTATTTTATTGTCATATTATATTATATGTTAGTCCTTAAGGTACATATTATATGGGTCATGTGGCCTGGAATAAATGTCTAAATAAAAATGAAATAAATTAATTAATTAATTAATAACTTTTGTAACTATAGTGAAGAATAGAGTGGTTTGCATATATTATATATTGCAATACTGATAAACATAGCTGGTTATGACTGTACTATCTCAGTCAGCCGTGATTATGCGATCTGTAAAGGTGGGTCCACATTTGTGACGTTTCAAAACACATGTGTGAACGGTTTTTGTCACGCGGACAAATTACATGACTTATGTCCTTGCCACAGAACCAAGAGTTTTAGAACAGATGGAAATAAACAGGGGTTTTATAATAAATGAACTATTGAATTTTGCATCTGATGTTGCAAAATTCAAAGGTGACCTTTTATTATGGGTACCTACTTTCGGGTTTCAACAATAGCAACACTGGGGGTAGAGGGGTATAAATGCACCAACTGTCTTGAACGAGCTCATCGAGGGTCGAGTAATCAACAGCCCCTGAGGATGCCTTGTGGAGAGGCGAAACACGTGTCGGGTATATTTTTGGTGGTGGTTTGTGACTGTAGTTGCGCTTCTGCTATTTATTTTATTAATTTTATTAAAACTAACTGCATAAAAACATATTCAACATAAGCGCAACTGTTTTGCACGATTTAACATTCACTGGGTTCACGGAATAGCAAATTAATTTACTTACATTTTTATTGACTTATGTCCACATTAAACTTAAGTACCTATGTCTTAAATTGACGCTTGCAATGCAAAAGATACTCATTAAGAGTATCTTTTGCATTGCAAGCGTCAATTTATTAAGTTTGCAAGCATTGTTTTAAGAGTGTCTTATCTATTTATTTATTTATTAAATGGACAACAAAACAGATAACAATCAAATTACATTAATAAGATCTATAATATAAGTTCTGTACTAGATTGTAACCCTATTTATGTTGACACATCATTGTAATGTAACAAGAAAGATTGAAGAACTGTTCATAATTTGCTAATAATTTACTTACTTTAATCTATTATACCCACTTATTTTAAATACAAAGCGAAATGGGTTTGGGTGAATACTAATAATTTGGGTTTTTTTTATAATCAACATGAAATATGAAAGATCATACCGGTTCGACGTTGTATGCCAGGACCACATTGCTTTGATCTGGTGATAGAGATGTCACTCGAGATGACTGCTGGAGAATCTGAAATTATTAAAAAGATAACAGGTAAATAGAGACTAAACATATAGTATTATAAGACAAGAATGGTAACTCCATACAACCATAGAAGCGCGGTATTTATGTGTGTTGCCTTACGGAAACACGCCATTTGAATTTTTGTAAGAAGTTATAGTCATAGTATAATCAGACAAATATGGTAACTCTATACCAATGTAGCAGCTTGGCTTGTATTTGTGGGTACTCCCCTCGTGCCGTAATAATCTCGCGATGCACTGCTTGTCTCGCGCGCCCTTCATTATTATGCGAACGTGTGCGATTTTTATGAAGTCGATTCAAATGTGTGAGAATTAGAATGTTCAGAATCATTGTTTGAACTGATAAAAAAGATGTTACATGTAGTTAGAGTACAACAGTTCATACACATGTCGAATGTACAATGTTTTATGATTACAATTAGTCATTAAGCTCAAACAATTAAAATACAATACAATTCAAAATGTCAACAAGCTAAACACAGACTTAAAAAATTTAAAATATGACATAACTATCAACGTCAACAACTTAAACATAGAAGTCAAAATGAAATAATTAAATACATTATATAACTATCAATTAAAAAATTTTAAAATAAAGTTTGTCTGATTCACAACATAACGATGTTTATAATTAATTTAATCATTAATGTATTCATTTATTCACCGATATCCTTATAATAGCGACCGAGTGAAAAAAGTATGTCAATGGAGATGAAAAGTATGTATGTACTCAATTATTAAAATTTGTCGCTTAATTAAATAGTCAGATATTGCGTAGTACGCCTTCATAAGTAATAGCTCCTTAAGTTTAAAACTAAAATCTACAGTTTTTACCGTGTCCCTTAATTATTCTGTGTATACGATGTAACGATTTTTTGTATCGATTGAAAACAAATTTTTGCGTAAATCGATTCGACATTAAAGTGAATCGGAACCTGTTTCTGATCCCCTGCTGAAACTTAAAGCTAATCCTATTTTATATTGGTCTGCAGGAAAAGTAGTTCGGCAACATCTAAGTACAATAAGTCGGCGATATTTGGACATCTTAACGTCTTTCCATACAGGTCAATATCACTATAAATAAAAGTCGCAACCAAGGCCGAAACGGCTGTCAAAAATTATTACATTTTTACCAAAATAATTGTGAACTTAGAACAAAACTCGTAACCTTAGAATTCCGCTCATTACACTTTTTAATTCCGGTTTTAACTGACTTCAAAAAAGGAGGAGGTTTGCAATTGGACTGTTTTTTTATATGTATGTTACGCGATAATGCCGGCATTTGTGAACCGATTTTGATGATTCTTTTTTTAATAAAAAGAGTTTACCTCAGTATTGCTCCCATTTAAATTTGAAGAAAATATTCCACCTCTAAGAGTGGCAAACTAGGGAATGAATCCGGTTTCACGCATTTTCCGGTAACCGATTTCAATAAAACTTCACAAATAGATGTAACTCTACGAACTTTTGAAGTCGGTTTTTTTATTTAACTCTTATTTGTTATCGAAATATAAGTAAATACTTACACTGTCTACATTTTACAATAAATCATCAACAAACATCTTTTAAATTATATAAAGTCAATATTATCGTCGGATTATTTGGCATCAACAATTTCGGCAAATATTGAGTTTGGAATATAGGGCATTTTGGATCTCAATACTTAGTTATTAAGAGTTACTTTATATTTAGAACACAAGAACGTGAGACCAAATAAATATATTCTTTTTCAAAACTTGCTCGTAAAAATATCAAAAACAATAATTCGTTTGATATAATAAAACCACATTTGATTGATGTCAAAACTACTTTTATCACTCGAAAGTAATAAAAATAATATAAACTTCATGAAACAAATTACATTAGAAACATTAAATATTGTAACTCAATTTGAGTATAAAACTCTCTCCTGAAAAATTGTCATTTTGCAGATGTGGCCTTATTACAACCAAAAGGTGCGAAGTTATCAATTTTGAGTAATGTCTTTCAACTGATATAATAAAAAAGAATCTTTTACCTGAGAGGAGTTGGCAACCAATACTATCGGCGAGTCTGTATCCACATTGTACAGGAGGAGGCCATCGTTCAGACTTCTGTATAACACTTTGTTTCCTGTAATTGAATTGCAAAAATATTTATTATCTATCAAAAACAATTTAATTCGTTTGTGGTGAGAGCGCCGACCGATTATGTATCAACCTTCATGAAGAAATTTTGGCCGAAGAGTCTCGTCTACCGGCGATTCCGAGGTAAGGTAATCTAGGCAAATAAAGTCCAGTGTATGATAAGGCCCGGATCCTAAAAGTATTTTTAAATTCATTTTAACGGCACGATACTATGCGCACGTTTAGAACGGACCAATATGAATGAATGAATGAATGAAATATTGAGTTTATACATTTTGTGAGACCAGCAGATTAAATTTAATTGAAGATAGCAAATGGACAGTTCGAAGAACTGCAGCCACGCTCTTCGTCGCGACCGGTAGTTGACGCTCGCCACAGTAATTATCAAAGGCAACAAAAAGTAAGTTTAAACTTGACTTAATCGTGATTTGTACTTACTGTTTTTAAATGTTAATAAAACATTCAACTTCAATATTTGCACTTTGGTTTTGTTTTATTTGCAAAAACATCGAATTGTGTTATAGGCAAAAATAGTTTGGGCTTTATTGGTATTTAATAAAGCCCAAAGTGAGGGTTTTTTAAAAATACTACAATAAAGTATAAATTACTACAAAAACACTAAAAATTTTTATGTCTATATATTTAATCATACGAAAAATTGGATTTGGCGTTTGGTTGGTCTTATTTGCCCAGGGTACTGTATAACACGTCGCCTATACAAGTAAGTACAATTATTCGTGTAAATTAATTTGTTTTCATATTATACATATTATATTTCATTACATGTCTTGCATATATTATATGCGTCATAGTTGCCTGATTCAAATAAATAAATAAAAACTGTGTTACTACATTAATGATGTATGTCCTTATTAAGAAGTTCCATGTAACGTTGTAGAGTTAAAGGTCAACGAAACAAAATGTACGTAGCTTTATTCCCTGGTTACACGAAACCTTGAAAAAATGGTTCACGCTCTCATAAAAAGTTGCTTCTATAGTCGCAACATTTATTTTAATTTCGCATAAACATATATTTTCTTAAAACGTAATGCAAAAATGGTGGAGAACGAAAATCACTGAAGAAAATTTTGTGTGAAAAGTATTACTATATTTAGAGAGATGAGCTCTATGAACGTTTTATTTAAAACTTGAATAGCATTAACTACATTCCAAAATGAAAAAACGCTTCCTAAATAAATGTTGCTTAATCAAAATGGTCCAGAAATAGTTCCTGGAAGAAGCCTTGTTGCGACCCCATAATGCGAAATATGTATAGTCTCGGGGTAAGTTTTGAAACGACATTTTATGCGACCATAGTAGACGCAGTAGACCGTAGATCCATTCCAGGAATAAGCTTATTGAGTAAAGGATCTACAGTGAGGTCAAATTTTCTGATGAATAAAAAAATAGTTTTTATTATTAAATACTCGACACTACGTCTGCTCGAATTACAATTTTTCCCGTACTAATACGGTTCATGGACACTGGCTTTACATCAGAATTTATTTTTTTACTAACGAAATTAAAGCTTTTTTAACAGTGTATATCTTATACTACACGTTAATATAAAAAAATCATTGGTATATCTAACGTACCTATTGAACACAGCGGTTTTCGTGTAAAATTTTGAAGCAAATTTGTGTTTTCTTTTCTATCGTAAAAATTTTTAGGTATACTCATTGACTTACAATTATATGGACGTCGGGTTCGCGCTAAAAAGTGTCCGAACTTATAGGGCGTTAAAATCGTATACAGAGCGTCATTCACGCTTTAGTCTTCGTTTGTTCGACTGACAGCGAAGCAAGCGAAATTAGACAGTACTGCGATGACATTACAATTTAAATTCAACGTTTTAGCTTTTTCATATTCCTTTACATGTCACTACGTTTACATAGGTTGACTTGGGACATTTTTTTCGTGGTTTTTGTATTAGACCCGTCGTCCATTTATTTGTAAGTCAATGAGTATACTGTTTAACGTACCTATGCATATTCTCAATTTTACTATATATCTTTTTCAAACAGATGGATTCAACACTGTCACTGTTAACCAAGTAAGGTTTGGCTTCAGTATTTTAGTGTACGATCATAATTCAAAAACCCAATTGATAACAACTTACCTGAAATCCAGGTGCCATTAAATGAAGTTGGTGCAAAAACACCGTTGATAACATCTTCCAGATCTATTAAATCTGTTGGTGGATCAGTGACCGGAAGCTCAGTAGTTGTTGTACTTGATGTAGTACTCGATGTAGTAGACAAAGTAGTAGTCGATGGTGTTGTTACGGGCGTCGGTCCGTCTGTCGTGGTTTGTTCATCGGCGTCTCCACCCTCATTTCCAGACAGTACAACAACTAGGGCAACCACTGCACCAATCACCGCTAGCATTGCAATAAATCCAATAGTATACTTTAACTTGTTACTCTTCTTCGTCGTGACTAGAATCTGCAATATTAAAAATATAATTAATCAATTGATTTCTTCTTCGTACGAAATGTATATTTCTTAAAGCTCTGCGAAATATACTTGGACAATGATCTCCGAATCGATCATTATTTACGTTTGCGCGTTTATTTATATAAATACAACATTGTTGTTTTAAAATACGATATTTTGTAAACAAAATTGATCATTTTGCATTTTTTGGCTGAGAAATTACCTGTATACAGCTTCGAATATATTTGGGCTGCATTAGTAGACACAGAAAACCACATTGCTACATTGCTTAACATTTCCATAGATAGCTTAATGCTGAAATATTTTTAATGTAGCAAAACGGACACATTACTAGACATATCATGTTTTTAACCCCCAACACTAAACGAGGGGAGCTCGTATAAGCTTAAAGCCCTTGTAAGTGTGTCCGTATGTGGCATCGTAGCTTCCAAACGGATGGACTAATCTCAAATGGTTTTTTTTTTCCGAAGGCTAATTTAATCGTGTATGTTTTTAGCTATGTTTGATGAACATCTGTTCTGCCATTTAAAGATCATTAGCTGTTTTCGTAGTTTGCACAGGGATCTCAATTATAAAATGAATCTTTGTGTTACTTCCATTTGTCCCGTCGATTTGAAAATTGGTTTGCGATGGACAATGTTAACATTGCAATAATATGGTTTAGGTATCCTATGCAATGATCACGGATATCATGTATGTGGACGATCTATGTTTTGTAGCAGAATCACCAGATTCTTCGTGTCAAAAAGACAGAAGTACTGTCTCTGGACAGTCACGGTCACTAGACACTAGCCATTAAACTTGGCGAGAACGAGCTGAAGCAGGTCAACAAGTTTCGTTATCTGGGGAGCATGATAACATCAAATTGCAACCTTTATACAGAAGTCAATAATAGAATCGGAGCTGCAGCAGCAGTTTTTAGTAAACTAAATTGCAAGATCTTCTGCTCACGTGATTTAAAATTGGCTACCAAAATCTCAGTATATACGTCGGTTATGCTGCCTAACATCTTATACTCTGCCGAAACATGGACTGTTTATCGTCGACATATCCGCTAGACCGCTTTCACCTCAGAGGTCTCCGGAAGATTCTAACTAACTAAAGCAACATCTGATGGTCTGATCGCATACGGAATACTAAGGTATTACGAAGGGCCAATATTAGTGGTATTGATATTGAGACATGTGGCGCGGATGGCGGATCAGCAAATGGCGAAGCGGATCTTTTACTCTGAACTTGAGGAGGGCAAGCGTAAGCGTGGCGGACAACTCATTAGGTACTAGGATGTGCTTAATGGTCACATGAAGAAGTGTAATATAGGGCCTTCTCATTGGGAGCAGCAGGCTGCGGAGTGGAGGGTACTGGTCAACACCAACGTCTGTGATTTTGAGAATGAACGGCGCTCGGAAATTGATTTTAAGCGTAACGAACTGGAAACCTGACTATCTGCGGTGCTCAGTTATAATTTTGAAAATGGTGTGCTCAGTGCGCAAGGACCTTCGCCCAGAAGATTGGCTACATAAGCCACAAGTGAGCCCACGAACGACGCCTACATCGGAGCTAAAGTGGTCGTCTTAGCCGAAATTGGCTGGCAGTATTTCATAGTATTATTCATTTCATTTCAATATAGTAACGTTGATCTGATTCTATAACCAAGACAATCTGCAGACTACCTAATTTCTCAACTACTTTCAGTGAAACTATCGTGTATGGGCTCAACGAGTTGTTATCTTACTAATAGTGAATTTATTGACTTTTTGAAGTGCGCTGCTTTGTGTCCGCTGTTTTTAACAGATAATTGAGACGATAGTTACAATGCTTAGGAAAGAATTTGGACATCCATCCTTTTGGAATCCATCGTATGAATACATGCATCGTATGGTTAAAATTGCCATTGTTGATGTCAATTAGTTTACCATGATGATTGAAGGTAGAAGAAGGTTTAAATCACAGACGTATATACATATATATCTAAATGAGACGCCGCAAGTGTGTAATGTAAGCTATAAACGCTTAGTAGCCGCCGCTACGCTTGAGAACACGCCCGGCCGTTACCTTAGTTAAACATCAGTCGAAAACGTGAAAGATGCCTAATTGTGCCATTATATATGAACAGCAAAAACACCACAGCTATGAGAAGATAAATAAACAGAGATATTTCCTTCCATACTTGTGTAATTTTGTAATCAGAATATGCTTAATTTATTTTAAAATCATCTATTTCCATTTTAAATGAATTCCGAGAAAATAAATATGCAGACGAGTGTATTCCGCGTCATTCGTAATACATTGCGGCTTTTACTTGGTTTTTTTGTTTGTTTTTTTTATAATAACAAGTGACGCGACGGTACGAACAAGTCGTGCGCCTGATGGTAAGCTACGACATGCCTGTCCACAACACTTACAATGCCACTCAGAGCTTTAAAGCGCAAAGATCTCATGGGCAAAGTGGCACTTTCCTGGACGAATTCTTTCACAAGGAGCTTCACTACTTGTAACGTTGTAATGTTGTGGTGCGGTACCCTTTAGCTCCTATTTTAGTAGATCATGAATATGGAACGAGCGATATTGTCGTATAATGAATTCAGTTTTGTGGTACGGCCGCTTCGTTATGTTTTTGGTACGATATTATTATACTATATTTAACATTCACGGCTTCTTATAAACAACAAATACTTGAAAAACCATTATTATAAATCATTGACTTACAAATAAATGGACGACGGGTTATACAAACCACGAAAAAAATGTCCCAAGTCAACCTATTTAAACGTAGTGACATGTAAAAGAATATGAAAAAGCTAAAACGTTGAATTTAAATTGTAATGTCATCGCAGTATTGTCTAATTTGCTTGCTTCGCTGTCAGTCGAACAAACGAAGACTAAAGCGTGAATGACGCTCTGTATACGATTTTAACGCCCTATAAGCTTGGACACTTTTTAGCGCGGACCCGACGTCCATATAATTGTAAGTCAATGTTCTAAATGCATGCTGCGTCCGAATCTCCGATTTAATCAATCGCTTAAGTGCCGAAGGAGGTTTTCCATCACTAAATAGCCCTTGTGACGTCATCGAAGATACAAAAAATATGACATGTGATTCTCGTACAGATCGCGGTACTTGCTGCGTCTATTTAGTTATAATATGTTTGTGATTTAAATACACACAAAATTGTTCGCTCAACCCAAACGATAATTAGGAAAAGTAAGAAATAAAAATCGATACATTGTTTTATCTTTAAGAATATTTACACTCTATAAGAGTGAGGCCAGACGTGCGCCATTTCGTGAGTTGTTTGCATTCGATTGAAATTCGGTTTGGTGCCAGACGAACGTACTTCATTCAGTTGCTTTTAGCGTTTGTACGCGATGTTATTGTCATAGAGTGTAATGGATCGATTAAACGTAGTGTACATTTATGAAGCATTAGAAGATAATGTTAGAAAATGACGCAGAGTACATCCACTCCTTACGAAAAGATCAAAGGGTGGGCTGTTTCATATACCATATGCAAGTTTATCTGAACATCCAGATGTGTACGGTACTACCACGTGTCAACAAACGTTTCCCTCATAGCACAAACTAATGACGCGTAATTACGCGCGTGAGTCGGCAAACAACTCATTTTGCGTAGTCCTGTGGCATACCGGATTTATAAGTGAAACTGATTACAGCGCAAATTACGCGACTCAAAAAACACTCGTCTGGCCTCACCCTAAATGTAGTAAAATCTGGCCATTTAATATAGGTTATGTCACGATGTCAATGTCTTCATTGCAGTTTTTTCTTACTCCAAGATTACTAGGTTATCTCCAAGGTTATCGGTAAATGACTTAATAATACAGTATTTACTTAGTCACGTGATACTTTGCGAACATTGCCCTAGACAAGAATGCATAAGTTTTCTGTAGATTGTTTTTATTGACCATTTTTTTAGTTAACCATTGTGGAATTAACGTAGAAATGTTGGTTTTCTTGTATTTAAGTGTAGGTATCATACTGTCAGATGACCTTTGTGGTCGAGTGGCTTGTACACCGGTTTTCATGGTGTCGCCATCTCTGAGGTCCCGGGTTCGATCTCGGGCCGCGTTAATGTAGAAAACTTTCTATATTGTATCGGATCTGGGTGTTTGTGGTGCCGTCATTGTTTCCGATATTCATAACACAAATGCTTTAGTTACTTACTTTGGGCTCAGAACAACATTTGTGATGTTGTCTAATATAAGATAATAGCATAATAAACGTAATGTTATCTATCTTATCTTAATTGTAATGCTGAAACTAATTGTGCCGATAACTGCCGATTAGCATGTTTTTTTATTTTTTCTATTCTCCTTTCGTGCTCCTCAGAACAGATATCATAGTGAATTTTACTGTGCTAACTTTGTTCAAATAATTTGGGCATACTCTTGTGAGACCAAAGCTCCTGACCAGATCTAGATAAAATCCTATGCTATGCAAATCAAGTCCGTAAAGGGTATACTGAGATCTGAGTCCTCGCCACACAGTTAGGCGAAGAATTTTATAATAATAACGCACACACTCAACATAGCCCCGCACTAGGGAAACCCTGTGTCGCGGGTGCCATGGACACACACATAGACAACCACAAATTACACCCAAACTCACGAGAGAAATAAATGTAGGCCATACAAATATTTCTCCCGGCCCAGGAATCGAACCCGGGGACCTCTGCGTGGCAGTCCGGTATGGTAACCGTTCGGCCACGGAGGCAGTTAATTAAGATTTTAGGAAGTGAGGTGTCGCCCCTCGCGTCCCGCAAACCGCGCCCTGTAAACTAATATCAATAAAATAAGAACAGACGCAGAAAATTTGACACAGGTCCGACGTCAACAAGCGCCCGGTGGCGATTGACGGGGCAAATGTACACATTTATATACATTTGACTAGACGAGAAGACGGACGATGGACAGCAGTCACGGAATGGTGGCCAAGAGGACCAAAAAGGCCAGTGGACAGACCACCAGCCCGATGGTCTGATGATATCGTCAGATTTGCGGGATCGCGCTGGATGCGAATGGCGCAGGATCGGAAATATTGGCGCAATAAGGAAGAGGCCTATGCCCAGCACTGGGTTGATATTGGCTGACCATGATGATGTTGGGCTAAATATAAACTAATAGGGCTTAAAGATAAACGTCTCCATATAAAAGTTATATATATATATATATATTTTATTGTACAAAGAAAAGACACATGAACACATGTTACAATGGACATATACAAAGGTAAGCTTATCTCTTTAAGAGATCTCTTCCAGCCAATCCTTGCCGTGGTGAAAAAATGAAGTCTGCGGGACTAATTATTGTATTATTGTATAAATATATGTACAAAGTTAGATAATATTTTATTCTTAAATAATTCGTTTTAGATTTTATTTTAAACTGTTAGGATTTTATATGATCCTGTAAAGTACATCTTATCGTGTAACATATACATTGGACAATATTCTTAGGTGTATCATATATTTTTTGTGAGACCGTATTTAATACTAAACACCTAACTTAATCTAGCAAAACAGTTTTTCCCGTTTCTCCAAAAGTGACTCGCCTTACTGATATTTTATAAGGCTGACTTATATTTTATAAGGCTTCAATGTGTGCTTCAATTAAACTGTTTAAATGGTTAGTGGTTGTTACACTATATAGAACGATGTTTCCGAGTTGTGTGTCATTGTTTTGTCTAAACTTCGTGAATGTCTTTTTTCTGCCGAATATTTAGCCAATTAAACAGCGCTATCAATGGTATCAAAAAGATCTTTACTATTTAGTACGCAGATGTCTGAATACTAATGTTTATTTTTGAAGTCGCTCTGTCCCTTTCCTACGTTATACGACCTATCTTCTGCTGCAACCAACTTGGGTCTAAACTTTGTTGACATATAATTGAATACGCTGCATATTATGCCAAGCTTCCTTGCTGCATTTTCGGCCATGGATTCAATGTCCAATCCAACGACATGTCCATTCCAAGTAGCTGAAGACAATCGACTATAGATATGGATATAACACGAAAAATCGGAGCCAGCTCAAAGAGACTCCGTTTTGTGGAGAATAGACACGCCTGCGTTTTGGTAGCATTCAATTTGACAAGATTGGCGTTGTTACCCGTAACTCATGTATCTTAAGTTAGCTGATATACGACTGACAAGGCAGCGTTTTGAAAAACTGTAGATCAATTTAGATGGTAATTTTATAAAGCAAGTACTTTTAGATAACACTTTTATATAATATGTTTTAAATATCAGTGAAAGAAATCTATGAAACTCTGGGACAGGAGTGCAAATTTTATTTTTCAGCGTTTACAATCAAAACGCCTGGCGTAACCTATTATGGTGATATAACTCTGTGACGATGCTAACCTCGTTCATCGTCATTCCGCCTTTTTGTCATCCTCTTTTCTGGTACTTTGCCCCTATTTTAAACGATTTAAATCGTTCTCGAATTCCCTTTTCTTTCACCATTCTTACATTTATTATATGCGTCGTCATGTCCAATGAAATTCTTGAAACGAGACGACGTGCCCATAAATCACAAATCACATAATAATTGTACCTTCTTATATCATTTTATTATTTGTTGCAGCCCTCCTTTTCCCCTTTATCATCTATTACAATAAATCTTGTGGACCGAGTCTTCTGCATTCTCACTTCTCTAGTACAAATCTTTCCACTTGAGTTTTCCCAATAACAATTTTAATGAAGGTGTTTTGTGAAATTCGTTACTGTAAAATTATTTATTTACATATCTTTTTTAATTTTAATAAGCAAAGAAACTGCCTACATGGCCGAATGGCTACCATGTTGGTGTGACACGCAGAGTTCCTGGGTTCGATTCCTATATATTTACTTCTCTCGTGACTTTGGGTGTAATTTGTGGTTGTTTATGGGTGTGTCCATGGCACCCGCAGGTTTCCCTAGTATGGGGCTATGAGTGTGTGCGTTATTATTATCTACACGAAAAACATCGACTGAACAACTTGTTATAAGATTCAAGAATTGAATATTTCCAGTATTATTTTTTCCAGAAGGAGTCATTTTTAAACTGGATACAAAGCTCTTGACTCGATGAATTTTATAATTTAAAGTCATAAGTTCGGTCGCTAGTCGCTGCAATCTTAAAGCAAAAGAAAATATGATAATAAAAAATAGAAAAGTTTTATTTTTCTCACCTGATCGCTGGTCCCCATTTCCAATGTGGAGTTGCTATTTGCCGCCATCTTGTCCGTTTTCCCTCACCTGTAACAATTGATAAGAAATTTTCCTTTACTTCCCACACATCGCATTGTTATTATATTTACAACTGAATAAACCTTGTGAAAAATGAAAACGGAAAATAGAATGCGGACGTCTTTTGTGTGATGGAACAATGTACATGTATTAAAATGTTTCTGTTTCATAATAAAAGTAAATAATAACAACATGTGAGACAATTTTGATGATCTCGATGGCACAACGTGCGTGCTGGATGAGGAAGCTCCAGATTTGATTCCCAGCAACAATAAATATGTTTATTTCTCACCACAAAATACAAAACAAATTTAATCTGAGTAGGTACATTACAGTGGTATATTGTGGGAGCTGGTGCTTGATGTAGGTATGTCACCTGTATTACAAGTCACCAGGCGCCATCCCTTGAATAATGAGTAACATTACTAAGTAATAAGGAGTAGGTGAGTAGACTACTACCGCTCGGAGATCAGCCCGCACAGTTGCCGAGACAACTGCGATACTTATTATCCATGCGTAATTCCCTCCTTATACAGCCAATCCAAATTCTTAGAGACGAAATTTTTTATTTTGTCAAGCTTGCTTTTCCGGACTAAAGAACAGTCCACTGATAACACACTGTCAGTAGTCATAAAAACGGGAATGAAATCCACTATTTCATTCGTTCACCTCATTTTATTCATATATTTATGCGTATTACAACTGTCACAGGTGGTTATCACTTTGTACCATTAGTAGAATATTCTGTTTCCTCCATTTTAAATACATTGACAAAATCTTTCTGGCCTAAACCCTCTTTTGACAGGAGATCCGTGCTCAGCAGTGGATAAATAATTAATTGTTAATAATGATAATGATGTACCGCTCTGTTCTCGACTTAAATTAATATTTTAATTAGCCTATGTACACATTTTAATAATTAGTCCAAAATACAACCTAAATAAACTTCGTAAGTTTTAATTTAAGTTGTGCTGTTGATTTAAATTCACTACGTACATTGTTATTACACATCGCTGCTTTTCAAAAATAAGGGCCCAACTCAAAATTGATCCTTGTTTACGTATTATTGAAATTTATTCACTCCAAGCTTTTCATTGGTTAGAATAATGCAATATCGGTGTGTCTACGATTCGTCATGGCGCGGCTGACATGTTTCAGGTTTTTTTTTTCAAGACACCTTCCTGATGAATTTGATGCTTTTGAGATAGACCGCTATTCTAGAAAGCCATCGACATATTGTTAATTAAAAAACCATATTTTAGTATTCATTAAACCTTGTGACGAAATAACATGACTCCAACAATAATTGAACTAAACAACACTAACGACACACGACCAAACCGAGTTAGGAAGTAGCCAAACCAAATTTTAGTGGCAATAGAGCTTCTTGTAAAAGAATTCGTCCAGAAAAATACTGCTACATTACCTATTTCTGCCGTCAAGCAGCAATATAAGCCTAGCGTTTTGAAGGGTAAGGATGCTTGTGAAATTACAGGCACATGAGGGTCATATTCTAGAACTCTACTCAATGCTCAAGTCAGGATTGCACTGGAAACACAAGCACTGGAAATATGACCCTAATGGCAGGGACTTGAGTATGATTTCGAATGCTTTAAACCATACTTAAATCTTCTAGAATACGACCCTTAGACTTGTTAACTTATGTCTCAGGATGACGGGCGCAGTGGCAGAGCCTCTAAGATCTTTGCGATGTAAAACTGAGTGACATTGCAACAACTAGAATAAGCGTGTCGTTTACCACTAAGAGCACGACTTGTTAGTCCCATCCACGTATCATAAAAAAAACTTACGATTGTTTCAGTATTCCATTAATGCCATCTAACGTTATCTTAAATTAGAATGTCTTAAGATATTTTACAGATTAATGACCTAACCCTATTGATAAATTATCTGGTAATGGATTAGACGTTTCTACTCTGAAGCTTAAGCTCTGAGTGGCACTGCAACTGTCAATAACAGTTGCAGTGCCACTCAGAACTTTAAATCGCAAAGATCTGAGGGGTGCTACCACTGCACCTTGAGACATCAGTTGTCCAGTACCATGTGCCTGTAATTTCACCAGCACCGTTACACTTCAAAATCGGAACACAGCAATGCTGATATTACTGCTTGGCGCCAGAAATAGGTACGGTGGCAGTACTACCCTGAACGAGCTCTTTCTCAAGGAGCTCTACTGCTACCCATTTGCATTATAGGTGCTGAACGGTTTGAGAGCTTTGAGTAATACCTGCTGGGATGAGTTAATTATATTGCTCTGGCACTCATAGTACAGGAAATTTCTTAGTTTGAGACAACGTAATTGGTGTCGTTATTAGGCACATTATCATTTTTATCAACATCATTAAAAAATCGTGAAATATGTTACACGTTTCCATTTATATTCTAGCCGACAAATAAAATTACAAGAATGTATGTCATATCCTGAACGTTAACTGACACGGCGTGGTGCGTCTCTCACTTTCTCTGTCTCTCAAGCTATCCATACAATTCTACACTCAGCATTCTTTGGTCTCTTCCAATGTGTGCTATTCTTTCCTGTCTTGTATCTTCCTCAGCCAATTTTTCCCCATCACTTTGACATGTCGTTGTTCCAGCACATCGGTCGTCCTATTTACTCGTCTCTGAGTCTTCGTTCACAGACCCTTCTAACCCATCTGGGGTCTTGTCTACGACATATATGACTTGCCCATTTTTACTTCCTGCCGGCTAATACTTTGGTTATGTCGATTAACGCTACGTTTAACACTTCTCTGGTTGATTTAGACTCGAGACATACATTTTTATTACGTAACACGACCACAGCGTAATACGAGTATTACTCCACGGAAAACACGACCACTCCCGACCGCTGCGAGTTGCGTGCGTGGCTGTGTGCATTGTTGCGTTGTTTGAGACACAGATTTGGGATACGGTTGGTGCTGCATTATGTTGTTTTTAGTTTCGTTGTTGTACCTATATGTGTTTATTTGTATCAGTTTGGGTTATCTTTTTGTTTTATTTAAAGTATATTTAGGGGAATGTAGGTTTAGATATTGTTAATTTTAAATATGTTTTTTTTTCTCATATGTATAACTGTTTGTCTCTCAATAAAATAAAAAAAAGATTCGTTCTCCGGATTTCTGTGTTTCTGAATAGATCTCGGAGAGATCCCTATCCTACACGTCCCGTTCCATAGCTCTCTGGGTGATCTATGTGTGCCTGTCTTGTCAGTGTCTATGACTCGAATGAACATGGAATGGGATGGCTTCGTATACCATGATTGGGAGCACATATTGCTCAAATGTCTGACGTTTAAGGTTGATGGGTATATTGGAATATACAAAGTTATTTTTAAAATACTAACAACCTTGAAGCACTACATATATACTAACATCTTAAACAACAATTTCTGTTCCATGACTTTTATAAGTCATCAGATTTTACTTTCGTACAAAAATAAATATATTTTAATAGATCGCTCTAAACAGTAATAACTCTGTACAGCACGAGAGTGGAAGTCGTCGCTGAGGACGTACAATTGAACTTACTTTAATACCAAATACAGAACTAAAAAGTGTCAGATAGTACAGCCAAAACTTAAAACTTATTATGTTTAGTAAAAAGTTAAGAAACATAAGTTGTTTTTTATGATGTTATTAATATAATACTACAAGGTTGTTAGTATTTTAAAAATGACCCTGTATATAATGTAATTTGTTATTCAATATTTCAATACAGGTAAACGAATAGATAAAGAAACTTCTAAACCATCTTCGATTTAAATCCATTAGGGACACATAATTTTACTATCAACTTGATTGTAGAACTAGTACAGTTAATGACACAGCAGATCACTGTTTTTTGTGTCCAATTTCCATTGAGAATTTTCTATCTATTTATTGGGAACGTAATCAAACTGCACTTACCACGAAATAAAAAATAAATTATGTCCGGCAAACAACCGACTTCCTACCGGACTAACACCACATTAGGCCAAAAAGAGATCAAGATATTATATTATCTTATAGATAATGGTTGTGTAAAAATTATAATTTTTTTATTTTATCAATTAGACATTCAATTCGATAATGTACAGGATGTTATCAGAATGATCGACCGTACCCAGTTGGTTCTAATTTAAAAAAAAAATATTTATCTACATACATATCATAAACCCTCTATGATGTGTTCAAAAACCGCAAATTACGACCAGCATAAAGGTAAACTGTTTTGTAAGAACAAATTCGATTTTATTATCACATTCAATGTTCGAACATCTCTGAAAAACAAACCATTTGATTCAACCTCAATTCTAATATCAGTCGAGATGAAGTTTTATTCGAAATGAAAAGTCAATAGCAAACAATTTTGGGACATTTCACACGTTACTTATCGAACAATATGGTTGGGGCCGACTCTAGTTAAAAATAATAATAAAAATAAAATAAACAACACATGCTTGCAATTTCAAATTTAGCACGATCCTTACACTAGGCAAGCCTGAATCGATTTACTTACATTACATAATTAGCCCCTAAAAGAAAAAGAAATCAATATAAAAATAAATATATATTTAAAAATATGAACAACATTTTCTGCAATTTTATAAATTAATAAAATCAATAAAATGAAATGAAATGCTGCTACGACATACAATTAATTAAATTTTCAACAAAATCATAATACAAATCAAGCAACCAATTTTGCAGTATAGTAATTAAATGAAAATTGTGTGAAATGCGTGAGAAAAGTTTTATTTGCCGTCATTTCGCCAGTCGTAACATGCGGTTCCTGAACACATCATAATATGTATAGATAAATTAGTGTATGTAACTGTATATAATAGACATTAAAACACTCGTGCGATGTTTTTATGAAACTCGTCTGTCGGCTTCTTTCATAAACCCACACTCGTTTTTAATGCCTTTCATTATGTAATCACATAAACTACTTTTTTTTATCAAAAAGTTCAGCGTACATTTTAGCGAGAAAATGTTGTTGTATTTACG